GTTTCTCGCACGATGCGCATGATGCATCATTTATCCTTGGTATTCGCCAAATGTTGAAGAAGGATAAATGATGCATCATGGACTACGTTTCCACCGAGGGTCAGAGTCGGGCTAGAGTCGGGTCAGAATCGGGTGGGGTGAGCGTTTTTGCGGTGGAAACACCTAACCCCAACCCGATTCTGACCCAGTTTGGTGTTTCCACCGCAAAAACGCTCATCCCAACCCGATTCTGACCCGACTCTAGCCCGACTCTGACCCTCGGTGGAAACGTAGTCATGTACATCGTGCATGAAGCGGAACGCACTCCTCATTCCAACTCATTGCACCAGTGTGCACTAGTTCAGGAGTGCAGCAATAAAGAACAGACCCTTTGTTGCGCGCGCACAATAACCGGCACTATTTCAGTAATGACCGATAACGAATAACCTAAAAATACCATAGCATCTTAGAATTTTATATATCTTCTAAGCGTCGCATATCGTAGTTAATGTGCATAATTTTAATCAATTGAAAAATGAAAACATGCAGTGTATGTGGTTATAAGCCGACTAATGACAAAGAAAATATATCTTTTCACACGTAAGAAAGCATCTTGCTTTATCTCTTATAATTCATAATATGTATGAAAAATAAAATACGTATTTCCGTATATACTTAAATATACATAAGAATACATATATATTTAGTATATTATTATTAAAAAATAATTATGCTATTTATGTAATTATAGTTTTCCAAAGGAAGAAAATATCCGACATGAATGGATTAAGGCAATAGGCAAAAAAAATTTTGTTCCTAAGAAATTCAGCGTTGTATGCAGTCAACATTTCTTAAGTAATTGTTTTTATTATCCTATTGGCGGAGCGAAACATCGCGTGCAATTAAAATCAGGATCTGTACCAACTATAATTGGTGAACGTTTTTCCAGGTATACATATACACTAGTGATATTATATTTTAGTGATTATATCATAAATATATATATGTATATATATTATATTGCGCTTATAAATTAAATGTAAATTGCATGAATATATATAACCAAAATAAATATTTCCTTTCAATAGTGTTAATTATTAAAATTATTCATAGGAAAAATGTTCAAAACAAAACAGATATGTCCTTAAAACAAAACTTGACTAGTATCAATAGTAATATTGATAGCATTGTTGAAGAAAACAATGCTATCAATTATAGTAATATTGACAGCGTTGTTGAAGAAAACAATGCTATCAATAGTAATATTGACATTGTTGAAGAAAAGAATATGATAGTTAAGTTGGAGAGTAAATGCTTCGAAGCAGACACAACTGATTGTGAGTCAAACATGGCCACAGAAATAACATCAAGTACGAATTATACTGCAGATGATACAATGGATAGTACATGTCAGATGAGAGCTGAAGATACATATAAGTATGTACAATATGATATGAAGCAATCTCTGTGTGCATTTGTTATTTAAGTTTTGTTCTTAAAATATTGTTCTTATGTATACAGAGGACATCCTGGAACTCCTAAGTGTAAACGGAACCGCTACGGAAACCATAATACATATATCGGTGATTGTAGTGAAACTGATTTTCAATCACCCCGTAAGGCTAAACGTAACTGGAAAATTGCCATGTCTCATATTAAAGAGCAACGTCGAAAATTAGCAACAATACGAAGACAAAATAGTCGTTTAAGAAAAAAAGTAACAAACCTCGAAACTTTAATAAAAAATTTAAAAAGTAAAAAATTGGTATCAGATGATGCTGCAGGAGTCTGATCTGTAAGTCATTTATAAAATAATACGTGAACTGTAGATCTCTTGCACTAGTAGTGTGAATCCAACGCGGTATCATACGTCATATCGCGTATTTCATATACTGGTAAAGTGAAGGATAGACAATAAACCACATCTTTTCGCTCTTTCTATCTACAGGAAAAGGCGTATCCAGGTGTATAAGATCTATGGGATGAAATGATACATAGGACATTTCGATGGTGTTTTCGAATGCAGCCCTGAGACGAAGTGCCTCGTGTTTTGTTGATGAGTCCATCGTCTAGTTACTAAAACATGCGCGGTAAGAGGGTAACAGTTTTGATTAAAAAATACTTTAAATCCATTTTTATGTCCATTTTTGCATAAAACTATTAAAACGTTTTTATTGATATTAAAATTGATAATTAAAAGATTTTTTAGAGATTTAAAATTTTATTTTTGATAGTGAAAAAAATTTACTTAAAAAATCATCTTGGTCAAATCGGAACTCGGATGACGGCGGAACGGGGAGCACTATCGCCACAGTTATTTCGTTTTACATTTTTCTAATGTGAAAGTACAACTAATATCAAATTGTAATCTAAAAAGATGCTTCCTGGGTAGAAAATATGCTCATTGCAAAAAGCAATTATTGATTATTTCGGAGCTACGTGAACGCGGTCGTGGCAACGCTGAAGCGCGCGGCAACTCACTCACACACACTAGTAGACGCGTGGCTCATGAACGTGCGTCCGTTTAAAAAGCAATGCGGATTCGCTAATTTTTAAATAATAATAACTACTTTGTGGGTCGTGACTCGAAAAAATGGTCTGGGACTCTTCGACTCAGTTTTTCATAAGAAATATCACTATATAAATGATGGGCGCGAATTAGAATACACCCTGTATATTATAATATAATATTTGGCTGTATTTAATTACATTTATTTAATTACAATTACATTTACGGTTTATATATCAAAGATTCAGCATAGAACTTAACTTATTGAATTCAATACTACTGTATATTAAGTACTGTAAGTATTGGATATTATGTACTGAATAAAATAATTGTCAAATATTGCCTTAGGTATGTGTATTTCAATATATGTATCTTACACATTAAAATATGTATAATTTTTACAACATATAAATAAAATAAACACATATCATATACTTTTCACTTAATAATATTATATACTTCATTTATACGATATATATACAATATTTATATATTGTATATTCGAAGAGTAAGTGAATTCAAAATTGTCTGCTTGTTCGCGCTGAATCAGCAAGACTTCCTATTGGATGGCGCCATTTTGTGGACACAAGTCACGTGCACCAATCACGTGACTTGTGTCCACCCCGCATAACAAGTAAAGCCTCGTCTACATAGAAGTCGTAAAGTCGTAGTCGTAAGAATAGTCGACTATGATTGGTCAATTCTTATGTGTCTGACTGAATTGACCAATCGCAGTCGACTATTCTTACGACTACGACTTTACGACTTCTATGTAGACAAGGCTTAAGCCTCCGCTACAATGGGTTTGTTTTCTGTTCCTGCACTGGTGAACTAGTGCAGTAAGCTAGAATGAGAAAAAATATGCTTGTCTTACTCCAATTTATTGCACTAGTTCACTAGTGTAGGAACAGAAAACAAGCCTATTGATTCTCGGTTCTGTCTACAATGGTCGTACAGTTGTATCGATGGTCGCTTGAGCAGTCGTAGTCGTAGTCGCTCAAATAGGTTCAATTTCTATTCCAACGACCACGACTGCGTTTATTGCCGCGACGGACCAATCAGAGAATATAGTGTTATATGTCGTGTGTCATTATATGTCGAATATATCGTGGGAAAATACCTCAAAAACAGAAAATCGGTTTCAGTTGTATATCGATACGACTCAATCCATGACTCTACGATTCTAAAGGCATGTGTCCACGTTACTAGAACTGCGTCCAACTTCTAGTTCCGAGAAATGTGTAACCAATCAACTTGCAGCTTTTATGGAATAGCTGCAAGTTGATTGGCCACACATTTCTCGGAACTAGAACTTGGATCAAGTTCTAGCATCGTGGACACAGGCCTTAAGACTGCGACCATTGTAGACAGAACCGAGAATCATTGAGCTAGTTTACACCGATCGTTTGGTACGCGTACCAAATACTATATCGGTATCAAATCGCTTGATTCGCTCGATGTAAACGCTCGCGGATTACTTTAGTGCGCTCTGGTCTGATACTGGCCTTGTTTACACCGATCGTTTGATACGCGTATGAGGTACTATATTCGTACTAAATTGATTTAGTCCAGCGGTGTAAACGATAGCGTACTGAACTGGTACGATACGCTTGCAAAAGGAGTATCGTACCAA